CATTCTAACTCATACTCCATCTTCTCCATCTTCAGTGAATATTGGCACCAACACAGTTCTTGTGATGACATCTTCGACGCGTATCGGTAGCGTCCTAACCGATTTCCTGTCGAATATCGATCATGATGCCCCAGCCGGCTATAAAGGGAGAAGTATGATGCTGCGGAAGCTCAGACGTTATCTTTGGTGGAAAACGAAGCTCGCGAAAGAAAAGCACGATGGAAAATCGCGGGTTGCCTTTCCGGATGTTTCGCGACGCAATGATCCTAATGCAGGCAATGACGTTAGTGAGGCATTGAAAAAGAAAGACCAGGAAATGGCAAAACGTGCGGCCAGTCGGAGGCGAATTAGAGGTGGGGCGCCTACGGCTCCCCAAAGCGGCAGAGATACCGGTGCTTCCAACAATGGACCGCAAGATTCGGCTTTGGGTGAAATACAGACTGAAGCGGAGAAATTTGCGCAGTTGTGAGTAGTTTATCTAATGAAAGGACTTGATTTGAACTTGTTCAGCTGGGAAACTCAGGGAGAGCAAGCTGAGGAGCCGGAGCTGGGAGAGGATATGGATCTCCTCGATCTTGAATCAGGAGCCTTTTCTAACGATTTCGACACTCACTACGGCCTCATTGCTTCTGAGCAGACAGTTCTGATTCGAGCTTATTCAGACGATACTGACGATCGAATGTTGGCAGAGATCCAACCGAAGTTCGTTGTGATGTTTGAACCTAATATGGAGTTTATACGACGAATCGAAGTATAGGTCATCTTTGCTCTTCCGCCACCTTGAATTGACAACAATGGCGTAGGTGTACAAGAGTTCTCATCCTGGTCTAGCAGTGCGAGTTTACCATATGGTATACAGTAACTCTTGTGAAGAGCACAAATACCTCGCTGGGATTCGAAGAGAAAAAGACGCCTTTGAAAGGTTAATCAAAGAACGCGGTGTGAGTGCAGCTTTCGACTTGACTTGACTTGGGAATCCATCATTGATGTCAAGTTTCTCAGTCGATGTTGCTTCCAATATTTGAGGAGCGAAGAGACAGCACGAGCGACGCAATGATAAAGACTATCAGTACACGGATCGCCGGTGGACGGCGAGAACTCAATACACAGCCTTCACAGGTAGGTGTCTGTTGTCTGTGGCGTGCTTACTTCTTGAGGCTAATCATTCGACAGGTGATTGTTGATATGAGAGAATTCCGATCTACTCTTCCATCCTTGCTACATGCATCGAACCTCATGGTTATACCGGCAACGCTCACGGTCGGCGACTATATCTTGACTCCTGAGATCTGTGTCGAGCGAAAAAGCTTGTCAGACTTGATCTCAAGCTTTAACAGTGGACGACTGTGCGTTGTCGCCTTCCTTCTTTCTTGTGGTATTGACACGCTATCACAGTTATACCCAATGCGAGTTAATGTCAGTCCATTACAAATCTCCGATGCTCCTCATCGAGTTCGAGGAAGACAAGGCATTTACTCTTGATGTAAGCAAATTGGGATCCATCTCCTCCACATGAATCACAGACCTGCGATTGTAGGTGGTATCTGATATCAAGTCGTATGCAAAGCCTACTGGAAAATACTCTATCAAGAAGAAACAAGGCGCTGCTGTGGACCTCGATCACACAGCTATGCTGCAATCCAAGATATGCCTCTTGATGCTATCTTTTCCTCGGGTCCGTATCATCTGGTCGTCGTCCCCCTATGCAACGGCGGAGATTTTCAAGGACCTTAAAATGAACAATTCAGAACCAGACCCTACTCAAGCCATCACAGTCGGTGCCGATGATGACGCGGATGCAGGTGCAGGAGTCAACGCAGCAGCTGAAGAGTTGCTTCGATGCCTCCCAGGTATAACCGCCAAAAACGTTAAGCATGTGATGAACAAAATAAGTACAGTTCGCGAACTATGTGGTATGACTCTCGTCGAGGTCCAAGAACTCCTTGGTGTCGAACCAGGCAAATCGTGCTGGGAATTCATGCATACGGGAGAAAATAGAAAAACTGTCATATAATATTACCTTATAGCGAGGTCCTACTTCTGTATCTGATCCAGTAAGGACTAACGTCCTCCCATGCTGAGCTATAATTGTACAATCGCATCGCCTGACCACATCTCGAGCTTTCTGCTGCGACCTCCGATCGCAGGAAACCTTCGCTCCGCTCAAAAGGCGAATAAAAGTTCAGCATGGATGGCCCACTTAGCAAGCGATGTCTTTTCTCTCGGCATAATTTGGTCGTCAAAAGGATAGTACTCATGTCTCGTGATACGATGTGTTTTCAACAGATAGATCTTCGATAGCCTTTCCTGATGAAGCGGTAGGCAACTTCATCGACTCACCTTTGATAGCGTAAGATATAATAGCACTGGCTTACTCGCGAAAGTATGGAACTCAATATTTGCCGAAGTCAACAAGGGCGAGGCTACTTGATCCCTAGGCGACTCTTGCTGCAAATAGGTCCCCTTGAGGTCTGGCCAAGCTAGATCAGAATGTCCTAAAACACGTACGTACATTCTTCAGTCGAAGGAGAGGTGGTCGTCTGTTGAAAGACAACCAGTCAGCGTCCTCGTACCTGATAGCCCAGTCCGCGCCGATTCCAATTCATTTGCCACGACTTTGTTCACTCTTAGAGGAGTCAAATCAGAACCATACCCGACTTCATCTTGTATATCTCGCAAAGGAAATTGTCGTTAACTTGGTCCCAACTGCAGCTCACATTGACCGACTCACCGAAAACCTCGTAACAATGAGAACATCTTTGTCAGACATGACATCGAGATTTGACGATATTATTGTACTTCTGTTGACCTTGACATTTTAAGGTCCAAGTCGAAGGGGAGTGAGTCATCACATATCGTATTGGGACATAAGGCAAATGTAATTACATGGATACATGAGTACATATGCTACCAATAACTCAACTGAGTTGCAAGAGCTGGAAGTCAATAAACCGTCAAACCAATCATGTCAAAGCCAACTGTTGCACTGCGTCGTGACCGAGCCACGTAATAAAGAGAGACACCTCTTGCGCAAGCTTCTTCAAATTTGAGGTGTTCCACTTGAACGTGTCATACCAAATTCTCGGCATGTAAATAACGAGGGACTTGTAGACCTTCGGACTGCTCAACCTCTGCTGAAGAAAATATTGCAAAATTCTATGACCCGTATGCATGATCTGCAAATGCGACAACTTCGGAGCAGGGAACTTTGGTCGCTGACTCTCGACGCGGACCTGCACGCGATTGAGCGCGTCAAGAGTGACGATATCGGAGTTGGATATTGCGAGGAAGTTGAGGTTCTCGAGACGGCAGAAGAAGTCGATTGCGATGTCCATGCGACTAGAAAAGAATTCTGCCGACGGGGCAGGCATGGGACACAGAACGATATGGCGTAATGTCACGTCGGTAAGTTGGCGGAGTGGGAAACGGCTGACGAGGACGGCGAAGAGGTCGGTGATACCGGTGTCGGTAGCAGGGTCGTTGCTAAGAAGGTCGATGTGGAGGTATTCGCGGCGGCTATCGCATAAGCTAAGGACTCGGAGATTTGGGACTTCAATGGCGTCGATGAAGTTGATGACTTCGGCGGTATGGATGAACCCGAGCTCGATCCACTTGAGGTTTGGTAGAGTAACCGGTTCCCCTGTATAGATGCCAGAGGGGAGGGACACCGAGAGCGTAAGCCTCTCAAGAGAGTGTGCGTTGGTCCTGAGAATACATTCGAAGGCGAAAGCGGAAGGGCGCCACTTTTCTGGGACCATTCTGATTTCCAACGTGACCAGGTTGGTTGGAGAGAACTGAGACCAATGCTGAGGAACTGCGTGCAGTGACACGAATTGCAGTTTAGGATACATAGCCATCCTCTCCTCCATCGGGGTCTCAAGGGGATGAAGCAGAACTGAGTGCGCGTCGACTTCCTCGTCTTCGAGATCCTCCTCGTCGAGACTCCAACTCTCATCAAACATATTCGTAACATCCCAACGAGTCAACATCGGCATCGCAACGTCCTTCAATCCACTCAGGATATTGGTCGTAGACCGGTAGTCGTCAATTACCAGCGTTAAGCTTTTGATCCTATGCGCATGTTCACCGAACGCCTGAGAGAGCTCTCGAAGCTTGCCATGAAAATCGGGAAGGCTGTTCGCCCATGCTTCTTGTTGTCTAGATCTTTCATACCGCAAATAAGAGAATACAGCGATGTCGAGCGTAAGCGGACAATTTTGAGACCGCGTGAGAAAGGTCTTGATACGTTTGATCTCGCGCTCGATCACGACAGTTGTGAGATCCAGGACTTCGTACGCGCGGATAGTCGACCAGAGGGTCGGAGAGTTCTCCACACAATCGCGCCAGCGCGTACATACGCGGCAGAGAATCTGGGGCAGGATTTCGACAGCATCCAAGACCAGGGTTTTAAATATTGCTAAGAGGATGTCGACTGGGATGTCGGTGATGGGAGAGGTAGTTGTTCGTGGAACAGTATTTCTATCATAAATTGTCAACTCGGAGCCCATCCTAATGTTAAATGAACCTCAGTAGTCAGTCTAAATAATTAAACGTCCTATCAAAACTCACGTTGAGAGGGTGTTGGATGTATACGTCGCTCAAGTTCAGTCACAGGAGAGATGAGAGATTATTCTTCCAGATAATGGTAAGGTCAGTATTTATACCAGTAAGGTGGCCAGACGTCAGGGCAATATTTGTGGGCGCGGACAATGGGTTATCTATCCACTGGAAACATCATTGTCGTGTCCTTCCCTGGCCATGGTCGGTTACTGTCTTCATTTCGAGTGAATACCTTCTTTCTGATCTTATGTTCCAGTCACCAGTCAGGTGCCAACTGTCATTCAGAAAAGGTGATAGTGAGTCATATTACCCAATCCCCCAGAGCAAGGTGATGAAGTCTGAACCAAGTTGAGAGTCAAATTACGATGTCGCGAGATCTTGCAAAATCACTGTCATTGCTACGGCACAAAATAAATGCTCCTAGACGAAAGAAAGAACAATGGGGGCACCGCGGATTGAACGCGGGACCTTCAGAAGTCCTGAGATCTTCAGTCTGCTGCTCTCCCAACTGAGCTATGCCCCCATGT